TCTACAAGAAAGGTGATATTGCAGACATCAAAGGAATGGGCACTGTTCAAAAAGGAATGCCCCACAAATGTTACCGTGGCAAAACTGGAGGAGTCTACAGTTACCCAGCCTGCGGTGGGCATTGTTGTAAACAAACAAGGGCAAGATTCTTGCCCAGAGAATTAATGTACATATTGAGCATATAAAGCACTCTAAAAGCTGAGATAGCTTTCTGAAACGTGTGAAGGAAAATGGTCAGAAAAAGAAGGAAGCCACAGTGAAAGGTTCCTGGGTTCAGTTGAAGCGCCAGCCTGCTCCACCCAGAGAAGCACTTTGTGAGAACCAGTGGAAAGGAGCCTGAGCTGCTGGGACCCATTCCCTATGAATTCAAGGCATGACAAGTGCAAAAAAATAAAAGACCTCTGTACTGTTAAAAAAATCTAAACATAAAACTAACATGTGATCTAGCAATTCTGCTTCTGTGTATATACCTGAAAGAATTGAAAGTATTCAGACAGATAGCTATTTGTACACTCGTGCACTAACAGCATTATTCACAATAACCAAAAGGTGGAAACAACTCAAATGTTCATTGCTGGATGAATAAATAAGCAAAATGTGGTATATTCTGTATACAATGGAATACTATTCAGCTGAGTGCCTTTGTGATTCAGAATGAAATTCTGATACATGCCGCAGCATGGATGAAGACATCACGCTAAGTGAAATAAGCCAGACACAAAAGGACAAATATTATATGATTCCAGTTATGTGAGGTACCTAGAATAGTCAATTTATGGGAACAGGAAATAGAATGGTAGTTGCCAGGGGCTGGGGGAGGGGAAAATGGAGAGTTTTCATTTAGGATGATGAAAAAGTTCTGGAGATGGATGGTGGTGATGGTTGTGAAATAATGTAAATGTACTTAATGCCACTGAACTGTATGCTTAAAAATTATTAAAATGATAAATTTTATGTTACATATATTTTGCCATAATAAAAAACCATATAGCAAAGAAAAAGTTTGTCTAGGGTAGGGTTTTGCACTGTGGTTAATGACTATAGAGTAATGGTAAATATAGGTTTGTGAAATTTCAGTTAAATGAGTGAGTGAGTGTGTGTGTGAACACGAGAGAGAGAAAGAGAGAGATTGGATTGATTGATTTGTGTTGTGATGTCAAATGTATTTCTTGCTGATGTGATCTGAAATTCCAAAACATTGAAAACCACGGCCCTCAAGAAACTCTTGTACATGTGCCATAGAGTAATAGCTTGCACGATTATTTTTACAGTAACTCCCTGTAAGAAATTCATGTTTGAATATGTATATATGTGGATATATATATATATTTCCCACGGGTCCGGGTCTCACACGATGGGTCACTAGTATATATCTATATCTATATATAAAAAGAGGAAATATGCAAATTAGGCCAGGACGCCCTAACGGGTCACGGCCAGACAGGAGGAGGTTGTGCGTGTAGGTGAGGCCCGGAGCAGAGACGGAGACGGAGACAGAGAGACACGGGGCGGGTGAGATGCCGCACCCTGGCTTGGGCAGGCCCCCCGGAGCTGGAGCAGACACGGACAGGGACAGGGGGCCTG